TTTCATTTGCAAGCACAAAACTGTAGCCAGTTCTAGGGAAAATACGTGCATTTTGCAAGCTTTGTAAACTACTAATTACTTCTCACCAGAAGAAGTTAAACTACAGCAATATATGACTAAAAAACTCAGGCAAGCAAAAATACAACTCAGTTGAGTGTATTTACCTGAGAGGAAGAAAAAAAAAACCCTGTCCAAATTAAAATTCACAGTGGCATTTCACAATGATGTTATATATTTTTTGTAAACAAATTTGGGGTTTGTATTCTCTAAAACAACTATCAAAAATATAGATATAAAAATATGAGCCTGTTGTGTTACTTGACAGTTTTGCAACATCTGACTTGTACAAACCTAACAACTAAAACAGTCTTGAACCTATACCTTTTAGACCATATGAACAGCTTAAACACTGGTCTAAACAGGCCTGTCTTTTACATCTACTTTTCAGAGCAGAATCTCTTGTTTATACGACACATCCTCATGCGCAATGTTCTTAACGAGAAGGCGGTTAGGGTTAGAGAAGCAATGGTAAAATTAAAATAAAAATATCATTCTTTTCCTTTTATGGTTGAAAATTATTTGTACTTGCAGGACTTAACTATCCAAAAAATGGCAAAAATGTAATTTAACTGCTTCAGTCAGTACACAAATTTGAAGCTACTGAAAATTGTAGTTTGCAGTTAGTTTACTACTCCCCAACACTGACTGTCAGATGTGGACAATAAAACAGTGTAAAAATACAAGTAAAAGTCCAGCATTCAAAATGTTACTTAAGTAAAAGCACAAAAGCATTACTATCAGAACATACTTAAAGCACTAAAAGTACACATATAGTACACATATTTCACATTCCTGTATATCATATTATTGTATTATAATGACTGGTGCATTATTGTGTACATCACATTTAATGTTGCAGCTGGTAAAGGAGGAGCTAGTTTTAACCTTCATATATATTTAATTTGAATTACTGCTGGGTAGCTTGTGAATTTTCCACCATAGATCAATGAGTTCTTATAATTAGACTGTATTTTTTGTATTAATCTGGTTCTGAAAAGTAACTAAAGTTAAATAAATGTGGTGGAGTAAAATGTACAATATTTGCCTCTTAAATATAGTGAAGTCAAAGTATAAAGTAACACAAAATGAAAATTCTCAAGTATAATACAGATACCTCAGCATTTTATTTAAGTATAGTACTTGAGTAAATGTACTTAGTTACTTTCTACCACTGCTGACTGTAGCCTACATCTTTTTGCTGACGAGTGTGTGAAGTGTGGTTTCTTATCTATGCCTTTAATCTGCTGTGAAGGGGTTGAAATGTGTTTTTGCACTGTCTCAGTCTGTTTAGCTGTTGTGGTGAGTGGAGGGGGCTCAGTTTCGTAACACGCACCACAACCCAGTGGTCTGGTCCCATAGTGACAGGACAACTTCTTCACATTGTCGCTACTGTGCACGTAGGTCACATCACAGGTTCTTACTTATAGACTCACTTTAGACCGCAGAGCATAGACAGATGTTATGCAGCTGTCTATACTCTAGATGAGCAGAGCAGGTGAGGAAGGGAAAGCCCTGTTGTTGTTGAGTGGAGAAGACCTCAGGAAGTCCCCAGACTTAGGATCCAGAATGCATTTTTTTAAATGGTGATTTTCCATTTCACCTTTTCTAGAACATTTCCAGCAACAGGAGACATAAGGCTGGGTAAAAGGCTTTTACTTTTAAGATGACCGTTTTGGTTGTTTTTTTAGAACCCAGTAGACCTTCCAATCCCTTAAAATGTGTCCCAGCTCTCTGCTGTTATTTTCAAAGTCAATACAATAGCAAAGAGCTGGAATGAATTTTTTGGTATTTGGAGACACAATAACAAAATAATTTTTAACACATATATATTCACAAGCATTGTTAGAGCGCCTTGGTTTGCATGGTAACAAACCAGAACCAAAAGTTTTGTCCTGTCACTCATCCTATGACAGGTGGATATAGCAGGCTACTATGCATACCTTTTAGTGGTGGGTCCATCTAAGTAGTAACAGTAATAACACTCCCAGTGCAGCAGTATGGCTTTAAATGTAGTAATAAGGGCTGTACTACAATGATAAGGATTATACTTAAATAATGCAGTAAAAATGATGACGTTTGCAGCTCTGAAGTTCTAACAAGGTGGATGCTGCTGTGATATGGTGTATGCTGCAGTAATAAGGCGGATACTACTGTACACCCAGTGACCAGACATAATGACACTGTAGGTTCTGAGGCTTTATCACTGGAAGTGTCAAGCTTTCTCTCCTGAAGAGGCTCAGTGGAAAAAGTGGAGCGCTCAACAGCATGTAGACATGTCTGCTGACCTAAATCTGCTCTCTTCTGCCTTTTATTTATAGACTTAAGCGTGTGTGTGTGTCTGTGTGTGTAAGAGGGAGTGAGTTAGTGAGTTTATATGTGAACACATTAATGGCCAGAAATTTGAAATTCACACACAGTTTTGTAAAAAGAGACATGATGCTGACCTCTTTGTGGACTGCACCTTTAACTACCATAACTAATATATCCCAACAGTGTTCAATGTAGGCCTACTAGCTGTGCAGAACTTTGATGCTTGGCTGAAATACTGTATATACTCAACAGCCCTGTTATAAATCCTGTGTTTATGGTCACTTTGGTTGCTGTAGTTTGAGATGCTGCTGAGTTGTACTGCATTATACTGAGAGATTATCCTAGTATTTTGTCCAACCCAATTGTGTCAAACACTGCAGCCTCACAAAAAACTGTTTGTACCTAATGAAGTGGCAAATGAGTGTCATTTCAGCGTGAGCTCAAAAAAGGATTTACATGTCAGCTGCTCTGTTGCTTTGCCCCTAACCTTTGCAGTATGTACTCCTGTGCACTACTTGTAATCACTGATCCCTCTAAGCTGCGCACTTGCACAATTGCGCACTGCTCCCGCATTCTCTGTGCACAGCAAATTTATGCAACGCATAAAATAAAATCCATCCTGAGCTATAAATAAAATAAACACATAATTTATTCTGTACCATTTTGCAATGCAACTCAGTGAGTGACAAGTGACAACAAGCGGTAACTACAGTAAAACAATGACTAACACTGTCTAGCCAATGATATGATGCGGTTTGCACGTATTTACTTACGCAGCCAATCAATGTCATTAACGCATTAGCGCTTTATGCATATGTGCCCCTGTTTTGCAGGTTAGCATATAGCTAACGGTGCAGCGGCGTTAGGAGAGGTAAATGCTGCTAAGCTAACCCCTTACTGTGATGAACCGAATGGGCAGTGGCACATCCACTCACCAAGCCAAAGTAAAAAAGAAATGAGGTTCTTTTAAGATGGAATGGCTGTCGGAGTATGTGCGAACAGAAGAACAAGAGGTGAAACTGGGTGAGATTTTTTCTTTTTCGAGTGAGAAAGGGCTGCTTTGCAAAACATGCTGCGAAGTCAAAGTAGCAAGTGCGTTTTCAGAGGGAAAAGTGTGGACTGAATGGAAGTTGGTCTACCTCAAGCGTCACATTCAGCAGAAAAGTCATTTGAATGCCGTTGGAATTAGACGAAGACGCAAGATGGGAATGGGGATCGGTACATTATTGCAGGAGAGTGCAAAAGATCAAGAGAAGAGGAATGAGCTGTCACACAAAAAGAAATCTGACCCCGAGCAAGTTAAAGTTCTCATGGCAATATTCTACTTGCCATCAAAATGAATGCATCAATGCTGTCGGTTCAACAAATCCACGATCACATGGCAAAGTATGTGAGTATACCAGAAAGCTGGCGAAGCAAAAATTATGCCTTTGAATTTGTGAACTCAATCAATGAGGTAGTGCAGAATGAGACGATGTTCAGTGTTAAAAATGCACCCTGGCATACCCTGATAGTAGATGAGCACAGACATAAGAGTGCACAAAATGCTAGTCTTATATATTAAAACAGGGAGGAAAATGACGTCAACTATAAAACTGTGTTCAGCAGCATCGTCCAGCTGACAGCATGCACTACTTACGATATTGCGCAGGCAATCACTTAGTTTTATTCCAAGCATGGACTGGACTTGCAGAGAATGGTGATGCTGACCTCTGATGGCACCTCAGTAATGCTCAGAAAGCACAATGGAGTTGCAGCTTTATTAAAGCGACAAATACCACACCTAACGGAACAACATTGCAAAGACAGCACCATCACAAAAGGTGTCAAGACTGCCATTCTAGAGGACCTGAAGCCCAGATACACTTACACACACACATACACACACACACATATATATATATATATATATATATATATATATATATGATAATGATAATGTTTTATTCAAAGTTATTGCTACATTTTAATGTTTAAAATATATTTTAAAAAATTGTTTTAATCAATAAAGTAAATTCTTCTGCTGGGTCAAGATGCAGCACCAACAGCAGCAGACACATCTCGTCCTCAAAAGAAGTCGGCAATGGCAGAGCTTTTTGGCGACACCTTTGCACAGAAGGACATGGGCAGCAAGGCTTTTGCTGACACCAACAAAGAGGAGGTGGCATCCTATGAGGCAGCAAGTGGCATTCCAGTCGATGGTGATCCACTGGCATGGTGGAAAAGCAATGAATGTAAATACCCTCACCTTGCCATAAAGGCAAGACGCCATCTTGCTGTGCCTGGCACTTCAGTGCCTAGTGAGAGGGTGTTCTCAACAGCAGGGGACATAGTTACAGCAAAGAGGTCTACACTCTCCCCAGAAAATGTAGACATGCTCATCTTTTTGAAAAATTGAAATTATAAACTCAGGTCTGTTCTTTTTTGATTTTTTGATGATGGGGACATAAACCGTAGTTTTTATTTCACTCTCCATGTTCAAAGTAAGAAGCAATACCTTAAATTGCATTTTAGGTTGTTTTTGTTTGTGTCCACAATAAGAAAATAATAATCATGCCCTATGCACCTTAATTTGTTTTTATATAATTGAGTGGAATGAGTCTTGCTTGAAGAATACTGCAAGAGAGAATCCAGTGATAACAGAGATCCAGTGGCAAATTACTGCTACAAAAAGCTGAGTGATTCAAAGTTCAAGGTTACTCTCACTGCTCTGGGAGATGTTTTGGGCAAGCTGGCACAACTCTGCCTTTCTTTTCAAAGACACAACCTGACTGTGATGGAAGGACACTGCTTTGCAAGAGCAAAGATTGAGAAGTTGCGTTCCCAATACTTGAAGGATGAGAAGGACGTTCAGTGGAGTGACCATGTCAAAGAGGTGATGAGGACCTCATCAGCTAAATACCAGTGAGATTACTCTTTTTATTCATAAGCTCTGTGATCACTTAGATGCTCGTTTTCCAGAGGATGAATTGAAGGAGTGGTCTGCATTTGATATCGAAGCATTGAGCTCAGACATTGGTTTTGAGTATGGATCAACAGACATTGCTATACTGGCAAAGAAGTATGAGGCCATTCTCCACCACCCACATTCTATGGAGGCCATTAACAGTGAATATGCTGAATTCAAGTACATAGTGAAGCAAAAACTTAAACAAGGGTCAATCAGCACATTCCCAGATATGGTGGCTGCAGCACTTAGATGTGAGGAGCTAAAGGAGATCTCACAGCTTGTGGATATTTGTGCTACATTTCAAGCATCCAGTGCAGATTGTGAAAGAGGTTTTAGTTTAATGAATCATATCAAAACAGCATCCAGAAATCGTCTTGAAGTGGTGCATTTGGACCAGCTGATGCGCATAAAGTCAAAGCAAGAAGCAGACGGGGCCATCAACCTGGACAAAGTCTACAACCACTGGAGAAGTGGAAAGGACACACGGGAAAAATAAGGTGAAATTTAAGTCCCCGATCAGATTTGTGCTTATTCTAGTGTCATTAATTAAGAATTTTCATTTATGGATATTAATCATTAAATGCTGTTACTAGATTATGAGTAGTAGAAATGCTAATAAAAACTGTGTAATTATATACAGTATTTAACAGACAAAGAATTATAGGAATTTACACTGTATCACATGCTTGTGCTACAGCACACATCTCACTGTGCAAAATGTGAATGTTTTAATGTGAACAAAATTTGATCTCTGAAAGGTGTACATCTCAGTTCTTCCAGAGCAGGATCCTCACTCTGACATACAAAATACTACACAGCTCATGAAAAACAAGATTTTTGTCTTTTTCATTGTAAGTGGGATCACTTATACTAAAAGTAATCTAACAGAAATTACTGCTGTAATTTGATTCTTTTAATAGGCCATGTAACTTGTTATGATCTCAGGTTTTGGACAGGTGTGATACTGGTGTTGCCACAGTGTGCACGTCTGGTGTTGCTCACAGTGGTCCAAGGAATTCTCAGGGAGTTTGTATGTATGCTCATACACATGAAAAATTAGGGGGAACATTGCTTGTAATGTTGGTGATCAGATCTGGAGCGTGTGATCAATCTTCTGTCTTTAACCTGCACTTTTTAATTGATGATGATTTTTAGTATTTAGACTGTTCATTCAAGTTAATAAAATTAGGATTATTCTCAAAATGGAATGCATTTATTGTTCACATAACTCAGGGACAAAGTCTTTCACTGCTTTAAGAGGCCCTTCAGCTCCTTAGTAATTTAAAGAACATGCGCTATTTGTTTTAAGTGGTTAAATCAAACTTGGGCCGGCCATGCTGACTCACATGCCACTCTCGCTTAATGGGATGCTAGATGTTGTGCAGTAGGAATGTAATATTTTTTAACCAGGTTTGCCATTATGTAAGAGATCATAGCTGAAATCCAGCTGACTTCTGTCATGTGAGTGTTTATGATCACTTCGAGAGGAAACATGCACATTTGTGGCATGCACACACATAGACATTGTTTTCAGCTACATGTTACGCTTATTTCTTATGGTTTGGGTGCTCCTCTGCCATCTATCCTTCCTAGTTCCATGGAATAACTTATGAAGATTTTTTTCAGCAATTTCAAAATAAGAGTGGTTTTAACATTAAGTTGCGGTCAAGTACACACACACATTCCTAGGGTAATGGGCAACTTTCTGTAGTTAACACATACAGTCAGGGAAAAAAATTATTTGAACCCCAGCTGATTTTGTAAGTTTGCCCACTAACAAAGAAATGATCAATCTACAATGTCAAGGGTAGGTTTATGTGAACAGTGAGAGACACAACAATAACAAAAAAATGCATTACAAAAAAAGTTACAAAGTAATTTGCATTTTCATGAATGAAATATATATTTGATCCCTTTGCAAAACGTGCTTTAGTACTTGGTGGCAAAACCTTTGTTGGCAGTCACAGAGGTCAGACATTTCTTGTAGTTGGCCACAAGGTTTGCACACATCTCAGGGGGGATTTTGACCCACTCCTCTTT